TTCCAACCAATTATAAAAAACTTCTTTGTTCTCTCTCTTTTTCTTCCTCTTTTTTACTTTTTATCTTGCTTCTGGCTTTTATGGACAACCATAATATGTTTGTGTAGAGAGACGAGGCCCTTTGTGCATATCATCTCATTTAATCCTAATCAAAATCTATTCAAATATGTATTATTAGTTCCACTTTACAGATAAGAAAGCCAGATCTCTGAAAGATTAAACTGCTTGTGAAAATGCTAAGAGCCTACCTTCAAGCACTTGACATTCACACTCCCTGACTGCAGCATCCACTGTGCCACACAGCTTCCTTACCCAGAGAGTTGAAGACACAAATCACTGAATTTAAGATGCCATATGCACAGATCCCATTTTATGTTTAACATAAAAGCTGATTGCTGATAACTTCCAGTTAAAAGACAAAAGCCGTTTATAATCATCCTGAAAGAAAGAATTGGAACAGTATTTAAGCTCGGCATTTGGTCCAGCAATATAACATCGGATTTTAAATAAATGAGCGCTTTATCCAAGTAAGTCAATACTTAAACACTGAAATAATATATAAAATACATTTTGTAGGTGTCCCGAATCCAACCCATTGAGAATGGTCAAGAAGAAAATTCACAGGGAAGGTCCTTTAAAGACTGTCTCGCAAGACTCTTCAGCTGGATAATGGGAATCAGCCACTGTGAACACCTTCAATTAAGGCAATAAACGTATGTGCGCTCGTGCGCACTGGTGTTAGAATTGAGTTGCAAAGCTAAGGCAAATACAAAAAATGTGTCCTTCTGTGCAAGATTCCATTATAACCAGAAGGGATCTAGATACTAGATCGTTTTGGTTATTATTGTTATCTTTATTATTTATTGTTCAAATATATTTTGGTTTTTCACTGATATTTCACTCATTAGCATTCCTCAATCAAATAGCCCTTGATAGTAGTAACTTTTTTTGTTCTCTTATCTGAAGTGCTGTTTTTGCATCTCCCTGTATTTTTTCGAGGAAAAATGGTGAGTGGCAGATCTCACTAAGTAGCAAGTCATTGCCAAATTTTCATGTCATAAATAAATAGCAATTTTGTAACTTTAAAATTCCAAAGTATAATTTATACAAATGGGATATAGGATAAACAGAAAAATCAAGATTTTTAACATGGAACTTAAAGCTTCAAAAATTGACATACTAGGGACTTAGAGTTTATCCAATTTAAGAATCCAAAACTACTTTTCAGAAACAAGTACTTATTTTTCCATGGACCTCTGCACTCAAGGACTGGATTCAGTATTTTGCTCACTGACTTGCTGTGGACTTGAATGCACACTTTCTAATGGATGTAACATATGCTCATCTTCAGCTCTTTGGACTCAAGCTCTGCTAACTTCTCTGTACGCCTGTGTGTGTGTAATTGCCCTGATGGATTGTATGACCAATTTCTTCTTAAGACTCTGAATTAAGCTTCTGTGCATGAATTTTTAGTTTGCCTATTGAAAGTTTGCCCTGTCTACTAATAAGACTTAATATTGCATATAAAGAATTCAACCAGATTAAAAGGCAAAACCCATTGTCACCTAGTTTGACTCATAGGGAGTCCATTCTTCAATACAGGTGAACTGAAAATATTAAGTGCAATTCTGATTTTTTTAATATTGCTAAAAAAAATGCTGATGGGGAAGTGAGTGACATCATAACTTCCTGCATAGGAATCATACCATTTGAATATTTCAAATCATGCATTTACATACATGTAGTTGTCATAATAGCGAATCATAGAGTTTTATAGATGATAAGGATTTTAATTTGTCCTTTCTCTAGATTCTTTCAGGAAAAAACTATTCCTGTGCTAGAAGAGAACTCATCTTATTTCTTAAAGCCTACTGAGGTTCATGGTCCATCTCTTTCATTCTACGGTTTGGATTTGTTGCTGTTAGTGAAATTAATGAACAGATGGCCCCTGGGTTCTTTGTACACTCCTTTCATGTACTTGGAAACTATTATTAAATTTCTCTTTAATGTTTTCTTCCCTACACATAGTCACTTCATTGTTTTCTTTTTATCTGTTTATCTCTCTAACTACCACCTTTAAGTGATAAGTCCTGAGCAGAATCCTTTTAATTCCAGCCAAGTAGGGAAAACCATCTCAGAGGTTAGAACTTAAGTGTGATGTGAAAGTATAAGGGTACTGATTAGAAAAAGCAGGCTTTTCACCAGAGCCCTGGGATCTAAAAGTGGAGTCAATCCGGAACCACAGTTACCCTTGAGTTTAACCTGGTTATGACTTAGCATAAAGAAAGGGGCACTATTGCTTGGAATTTATAAGCAGTGAAAGGAAGATCTAGGGGTCACCAAAATGTGCTTTTAAATGGCAAAACCTAGATCTTAATAGCTCACTTACACTTATCTGTGCAATGCCTTATTTCTAAGGTGACCTTATATCCCTATTTAGGACAGCCCCAGTTTAAGCCACAAGGGAAGCTCAGCTGGTAAAGAATTCGCCTGCAATGCGGGAGACCTGGGTTCGACCCCTGGGTTGGGAAGATCCCCTGGAGAAGGGAAAGGCTACCCACTCCAGGATTCTGGCCTGAAGAATTCCATGGATGGTATAGTCCATGGGGTCGCAAAGAGTCGGACATGACTGAGCGATTTTCACTTTCACTTTCAAGCCCAGGTGTAGATGAAAATTTATATGCTCTCCCTACAGCCACTGCACATTTTTTGTCACTCTCCAGCTTTTTTACCTGTCACTTGGTTTTTTCTCCGCTTCTTTTCTCCCTTGCACTGATTACCAGCAATTTGTTTCTGTTACTTTCTTCCCTTTATTGAGGTCTTTTAATACAGTAAATCCCCTACATATGAACCTTCAAGTTTCTAATTTTCAAAGATGTAAACAGGCACTCTCATATCCAGTCACATAAGTTAGTTCACGTGTCTGGCGTACATTGTCACGTGTGTGTATCCTCTGCACGTGGTTGTGCATTTGTGTACTTGACAGTACTATACAGAGTACAGAAGTACAGTTTCTTTATTTCAAGCCCAGGATGTCCAGAAGCATTGGTGATGTAGCTGGTACTGCTAAGAAGTGCCAACTGTTATACCATACTACTATACTTTTCAAGGTACCGTACTGTAAAATTAAAAATGTTTTCTTTATTTTTTGTTTGTTTTTTATGTATTATTTGTGTGAAAAGTATTATAAACCTATTGCAGTACAGTACTATATAGCTGATCATGTTATTTGGCTACCTAGGTTAACATCGTTGGACTTATAAACTTGCTATCAGAACAGGACTCATTCATTTGTGGGGGACTTAGTGTATTTCAGTTCTGCTTTCCAAGGAGGTAGTTGTCCTCTTCACTCAGGATCATCTTTAGTAAATTTAATGAACCTTATGGACATTATTATTTAGGGTAAGATAAATTGATACCTAGGCCAGCGGCCTTTGGAGTAGCATCTGTTTTCTCTCCCTTGTTTAAATCTCCTTTTGTTTCTTTCCAGTGTCACATCTTCACTCTTTCTTTACCCACCAGTTGCCACAGACTGATTAACCTTCCATTTATAACTTAACATCTTTCCAGAAATTACTATGTGCTGGGTCCTGTCCAGAGGAGTGACACTCCTGTCAGTTTTGTACTGAAATAGTGTGTACTAAATTGTATTTTTTCAGTTCACAGATTTCAAGTCCCCATGGGGCCACTAGAAATAAAACTATGATGTTCTGTTTCCACAGTTCTTACGGCTTTTATTCTATCATAGTGCAGTCTGTAACTCTGAAAGATCTCTTTTGTCGTAAAAGCATGCTTGTGCTTCTGGAAGGAATACTCAAGAAAACTTAGAGAGGAGCCACTGATCAGTCAACATCTTTCTCAGGACTTTTTTTTTTTAATGGGAAATTAAACTTTCTAAGGGCTTATCAGGAATTAGTAAAAAGGTCCACATGCTCTGGTCACTACTGATTCTTACTGATACTGTTTTTCTCTAGTAGGTTGAAGTGGTTAAGACCTAGAAAAAAATCTGCCTTAAGCAGTCATCAGTGATATTCTTCTAGTTGTGGTTAATATGCCTCGATTCAGTGAAAATGGATTTATTCACATACATTCAAAAAATGTTTTAGCTATTCAAAACACCTTAACTTGTAAAGCGCCACACTTTACATGGACGAAATCTCATGGCATGTGTTCATTATGTGAAATTCTATTTATGATATCTTTGACTTACAGAGTCAAAGCTACAATGAAAAACATTCTAAACATGTAATTCAATGGTAAAACCCTTTTGTAATGCTGCTGTTATTGGTTTGGGCTGTCATTTATGTTAGCTCCTGACATGACCTATATGTAGCATGATTAATTATGTCATATCGATTTCCACTGCAATATTTCAGCAGCCATATTGCGTGTCTGAAACCATTTAACTATTAGCCATTCCACAGGGCTCCTTGGTACACAATTCAGTTGCTTAAAAAAAAAATGTAAAGAAGTCTCTACAAAGAATTCTTTGGTTGAGGTAAACAACAGAGATTGCAGTCCGTAGTCTGGATTCATGCATCAAAAATGAAGTGTTTAAAGTAGATCTTTGTCAGCTAGCAAATGCCATTTCAGTCTGAACATTTCACCACTCCTTCTATGCCATCTGTCTCACAGGGAGCAATTAATCTGAAACTCCAACATGCAGCATTAAAATTCCATTAACGCTGAACAGAATATTAACATGTCTGGCATTACCATATTTATCTCTCCAAATTTCAGTGTTAATTTTGAATAAGACAGGTATAACATTTTCCTCTATTTGGTTAATTAAGAATATTGGATAAAATATATAATTAGTAGCTAAATTGATATAATAATATATGCAACTCATTTGAATAATGCTGAATGTTTTTGCAATTTAAGTGTATTTGGGCTACAGTTTTATATAAGGCTACTGATTATTTGTAAAAACACCAAAATCTTTTATGAAGCCAGTTTTCCCAAGACTCTGACTTCGTAATTCCTTTTTCTTTTTGCAGAACCACATCACTGCCTTCGCAGAAGTCACATGATATTGAAGCAAATGGTCTCTCACTGCATTGGACATCTTCCCTTTTCACCATCCATTCGTAACACCCAAAGTGTGTTTGATGACAAAAAAGGTTTATAAAGTTGTCTAATCATTTTTATAATTTAAAAATCAGTGTCAGCTTATCTGTTTCCCCCACTAGACTGTGAGCTCCTCAAGGGCAGACTGTGTCTTTCTCCTCTGTGTCCCCTGCACCTACAACAAAGCCTCATACAGAGTAGGTAGGTGTTCAGTAAAAACGTGATGACAAATGAACACAAATTAATTCTGAAATAAAACATTCATTTTAATTTCTCACAGAATCACTGAGACTAAGTGAAAAGAAACCTCTACACGAGTCATATTTGTGTGAGAAGTCCCTCCACTTTGAGCTAGTTAAGCTTTTTAATTTATCATGTATCTTCTATTTGGCAGCATACCATATTTCATTCGAAGTGGACTTTGAAAGTCATGGGGGTTTTTATTTCATTATTCAGCATGACCTTATTTCCATTCTAACAGATTTCAGTGTGTGAAATTACTTTACTTTTAGAAAGTATGTTCTATACTAAAATAATGTTTGCACATAATATTATGCTATATTTCACTTAAAATACCATTCATACTATAAATTCTAAGACTGGTGCTTCTGCTTTTGAAGGTGAAAATGCCAATTTTTACTGTAATAAGTAATGTATCATAATTAAAAATTATTTATTTGGATTTTTGTTCCTGACAATTGTGATTTAATTGTTGACTTGTAGTTTTTGAATGCAGGCAGTGTTTAGGATAGTCTAAGTGACTGAATCCAGCAATCGTACCTATTTATTGAACAGTTTTCCACAGATAACCATCTCAAGAGTGGTCAAAGTCTCCATTCTTTGGCCAGTCAAGTTTCCACATAATTTAAATAGAAAAGAATCCCCCCCAGACAATGCATATTAAATTATATAAACGCAAGAAATATAGTCAATGTATTTTGCTTTGCATATTTATAGTACTTTATAGTTTACAAAATATATTTTCATTTGTTATTTCATCTAATCCTCACAATGAAAAAAAGTGAAAGTCACTCAGTCGCGTCCAACTCTTTGCGATTCCAAATCCTCACAAAAGCCCCCAGTAAACCGTTAAGAGTTTGGCTTTAGTGTTACAGATGAGAAAAATAAAGACAAGACAGGGTAAATAATGTGCCCAACTCCACACAACTAGGGTAAGGCAGTTACAGTTTAAATTCAGATTTAGCATTCTTTGTAAATATGCCACAGCTGCCATATCATCTGGACACAGCGAGGCCTTTCAGTGGTCAGTGGCGTCCTGGGCAACAAACTATATGTCAAAAAAAATGAAAAAATGCCAAAATAAAGTTATAAAAGTTTTGCAGTATTTTCAACATTAGTGTTTTAAGAATAAACACTTTGAAAATATGATATACTAATCAATTTATAGTCTTATTTAAAAATAATATCAAGAGTCTAGATGTGAGGTCTTTGTAAAGTCAGAACCTCAATCAGCTGTCTCTCCTGAGCGTGTGGAGTTAAGGATGAAAGTTGTTACATAAGGAAAATAAATTGGACTATGACAAAACCATTCAACATATTCCTCAACAATAACTGTGATTTTCAAAGCTACACAGAATAGCTTTGTCTTATGTGAGAAGTAGTTCATTGACTGAAAAGATTCTTCTTAACCTTGACAGAACTAAAGGAAATAAATTTTTAACTTTTTATGCAATTTTAACAGAAATCAAAAAGTAAATATAACCAAAGACTTCTCCATTACTCTCAAAATAGACATTACTTACTCTTTTCATCACTGTAGAATTTAAACTACTTACAGTAGGACCAGAAAAGCAGAAAATTCCTACTTCTACCTTTCAGACTTCTCTAGCAAGTTTGGTTCCGGAGGAAATTTAGAATACTAAAAAGCTTGGAACACCTTGACACTCTTTAAAGACTTTTTTTTTTTTTTTAAAGCAATAACGGTGGAGGATTCGCTTACTGGAAATAAAAGTGGAGGGAATGATCATAATATTTTAGGAGGCAGGATTACCAGTAAGACTTAAAGAGGTCTGTTTTCTCAGTTCTGGCATCAGTCTTCAAGGAACCAGTTAGTCACACTTTTCTTGTTGGAAGCCATATATATATATATATATATATATATATATATATATTTGTACCTTGCTAAACCTGGTCTGAATGCAGGAGTTATAAATTACTCAGAAATCCAGATTTAAACCAGTAATGTCATCTGTAAATATAAATGTCATGGACCCAAGATTGTGTAATGAATGATCCTGCCATGAAGGAAATTCAGAAGAATAAAAAGATATACATGCTTAGGGCAAGAAGTCAGCAAGAGCCCTTAACCATGATGCTGTTACTGAGAATAATGAAAACACATTTTTAAAAAAATACTCATTTGTAAATATGTATATATATATATAGTCTAGTAAAAGCAGGAAAACACATATCTTTCTGATAAAGACATCTTTTTATTCTACTTACTTGGGGCCCAGGTCAGTATAAATTGGTCAGCCTGAAAATTTCGGTAGTCTCTGCATGGCAGAAATTCTGCACATGTTTCATCTGATTCCTAAGAGTATCTAAAAGGATCTTTTATGTTAAAAGAGAGGTGAACCTTCTTTGACAGACTTTGTCTATTCCACTTCTAACTGGGCCTCTCTTTTCTCAGGATCTATCCTAGCCAAATATCTCAGTTACATTTACCATACAGTTTCCTTGTGAAAGAGCAGTAGGGGAAGAAATAGTTCTCTGCTGTGAGTTGTATTTTTCAAATAAAATATTAAAAATTTAAAACATTAAGTATGATTTTTGTCCCATGCATTAATTCTTTCTTGAGGGTAGAGGAATAAAAAATGCTTGCTATCCTGATGAAAGTCAGACTGCCATAGTGACTAGAGAATGTTTGGAAGGGCATCATATGGTTTTGATTGGACTAGTCCTTTGGGCAGATAAATGACCCCCTGCATCCAGTGGGCCATCCTGGGATATCATCAACTTTCTTATTTACAAATCACAATCTTCTGAAGACAGCCTGGGATGTTGAGCAGGTAAACAGTCTACAACATACTCTTGCCTCCTACATATGAGCAAGGTGCTGAAGAATAAATGTATTGAGTTGGCCAGACATTCCTTCATATTCTTCTGTAAGTTGGTTTTAGTAGTGCTTAGTTGTTTTAACTAAGGCTTTAACTTCATTTGAAACAATTTTGCTAGATTGTATTGTTGACAGATGTCATATCAGCATGCATTTTTAGGAAAAAAACATCAAAATTGGTGAATTTTTGAGGAGTCATTTTAATACTGAAGATGGAAGGGAAAACAACATTTTTGACATACTTTACTATTTCAAGAAAGGTAAAAAACACTGAAGTGCAAAACAAGATCTGCATTGTATGGAGAAGACGCTGTGACAGATTTGAACGTGTTGAAAGTGGCTTGTGAAGTTTCATGCTGGAGATTTCTCGCTGGATGATGCTCCATGGTCTGGTAGACCAGTTGAAATTAATGATTAAATTGAGACATTAATTGGGAATGGTCAATGTTGTACTACACAGGAGAGAACCAACATACTCAAAATATCCAAATCAAGCATTGAAAATCATTTGCACCAGCTTGGTTATGTTAACTGCTTTGATGTTTGGGTTCCACATAAATTAAGTGAAAAAGAAAACCTTGACCATATTTCCACATGTGATACTCATTCTGAAATGTAACAAAAATGTTTTTAAAACAAATTGCTATAGGCAATGAAAAGCAGATGCTATACAATAAGGTGGAACAGAAGAGATTGTGGGGCAAACAAAATGAACCACCACCAACCACACTAAAGGCCAGTCTTCAACCAAAGAAGGTGATTTTGTGTGTACAGTGGGATTGGAAAGGAGTCCTCTATTATGAACTCCTGGAAAACAAAATGATTAATTCCAACAAGTACTGCTCCCAGTTAGTCCAACTGAAGCAGCACTTGTCAAAAAACGTCCAGAATTAGTGAACAGGAAACCATAATCTTCCATTAGGAAGACCCAAAATGGCAAGCTTTCTTTGATGACCAAGCAAAAACTGTTGTACCTTGGCTTGGAAATTCTGATTCATCTGCTGAATTCACCAGACATTGCACCTTCGAATTTCCATTTATTTTTGTCTTCGAAAAATTCTCTTAATGGAAAAAATTTCAATTCCCCAGGTATAAAAGGAACCTGGAACAGTTCTTTGCTCAAAAAGATAAAAAGTTTCAGAAAGGAATTATGAAGTTCCCTGGAAAATGCCAGAAGGTAATGGAACAAAATGGTGAATATGCTGTTCAATAAAGTACTTGGCGAAAATGAAAAATGTCTTTTATTTCTACTTAAAAATCACAGAAACATCTTGGCCAATCTGATAAATAACCTTGTTCCTGCCTCTAGGTTACCATTTATTAAATTTTTATTGCATGCTCTAAAAAGTTGTCCTGGACATATACCAAGTGATTCGATTTACACCTTACAAACATTGATCTCACATTTGGCAAGCATTATTTTTCTAATGAATTTTGTAAGTTAAGTTTCTTTTAAAACATCAATTAAGAAAATTTCTTCCAGATTTTCAATGAATGATTCTCTTCTAAGAAGAAAATATAAAAGTATTCAATTTCTTTTTTTCTGTCCCCTTCACTTTAGATTATAGCTGAATCTTGGTGTGATAGAGCCTCAGGACTTGGTCAAGGTATAATAACAATTTTGCTCTCCCCACCCCAAGATTTGTGAGCCATGGATGTATTGTTGTTCGGTCATGTCCTACTCTTTGCAACCCCGGGGATTGCAGCAGGCCAAGCCTGTCTGTCCCTCACCATCTCCCAAAGTTTGCCCGAGTCCATGTCTATTGCATCAGTGATGCCATCCAGCCACCTCATCCTCTGATGCCCCCTCCTCCTGCTCTCAATCTTTTCCTTCATTGGGGATTTTTGCAGCGTGTCAACTGTATACATCAGATCACCAAAATACTGGAGTTTCACCTTCAGCATCAGTCCTTCCAATGACTGGATGGATGGATTATAGGATCTAAATTCAAAACTCACATTGCCGTTTTCAAATCTGTGGCCTTGCTCACAAGGATCTCTTGTAAAAAGAAACAAAGATGAGTGGGCACAAAATCACCTCCAACCATCAGACAAAAGCTGAAAGTTCACATCTCAAAGAGGCCAATAATTAAGAAGGGTGATTCTTACTGATGCCTTCTTTGACTTATTGTTGTTTACTTGCTGAGTTGCACCCAACTCTTTTGCAACCTCATGGATTGTAGCCCACCAGACTACTCTGTCTGTGGGATTTTCCAGGCAAGAATACTGGAGTGGGTTGCCATTTCCTTTTCCAGCAGATCTTCCCAACCCAGGGACCGAACCCGTTATCTGCTGCTTGGCAAGCAGATTCTTCACCACTTTCATATTATTGCATTTATACATGCATTTTCATTTTGCACTGAAGCACTATCATTTGTAGAAAAGGGTAAAAATAAATTTCTTCCCAGGAGTCAAAACAAGTGTATTTTTAAATTGCTTCTAAAAAGAGAAAAATGCTTTCCAAAATATTGAGACATTTTGAATATTAATCAGGTTTCCTTAGAAGTATTGTTCTTGCTCAAGAAGGCCTTTCAACCTTCATTCACCCAGCAAATATTTGTAGCATGATTTTGTATAACAGATAATTAGGAACATGCTGACTAAACAATAGTTAGAAAGAGAGACATGGTCCCTACTCCTTCAGGTTGGATAGATCAGCAGCAGTGACAGTAATAGTGTCTTAAGAGACTGTTTAAAGTTAAGGGGGGAAACTGGCTTGGAATTTACCAGCTTCCTAATCTCAGAACTAAGCAAAGGACATTTTTATAGATTACAGCAACAGTTAAAAGTTGGTAATTTTTTAAAAAGTCTCTGCCTCTGTAAACAACACTGTACCATTTAACTAGTTAATATTCATTCAAAGAGCTTTAAAAATTTCTAAATGCCATAATAATAATCAAATACTATTCTCACAAATCTATGGTTCAGCTGAGCTATTTTTCTAATCTGAGCTGGGCTCATTCATTAATCCATGACCAGACTGACAGCTCTGCTGATCTTGACTGGACATTCTCCCATGTATGGGGGCCATCTAAATATAGACTAGTCTAGGATGGCTTCTCTTTGGACAACTTAAATTTTCTTTACATGGTCTCTCAACTCCATCAGACTAGCTAATCTCCTTCACACAGGCGATAAACAGAGAAGAAGCATGCAAGAGTCTGGCACATTGTCAATTTCACCTCATTCAGCTAGCCAAGGCAAGTCCCAAGGCTGGACAAGTTCCAAGGGGTGAGAGAGTGGTTGCAAAAAAACACTGCAGAGTGGTGGATGCAAAGATGAGTGGAGAACAGGAACTTTACCACAGATTTCATGCACCTATACTTAGAAAATGTTCAAGCAGTCCCTAACTGAATTACTCAAGGTGAAGAGTATGGATTTATTCTGATAAGCATGAGAAACACAAATGACAACAGAGAGTAAGCTTACTGTATCTGAGCCAGAACGGCCACGTCCTCAATTTCCAGCTATCCCTGAAAAATGCTTTTGAGATAAACTGGCTAGAAAACTGTCCATCCAGAACTTAGCTGAGAGCAATGGGGAGCTTGCAGAGTCTCCTAGGTTTCCCAAGAAAGCCTTCCTAGGTTCTTTGTTTTTTGTATCTGCTGCTTTTGCCAAGCAGCAGATAACGGGTTCGATCCCTGGGTTGGGAAGATCTGCTGGAAAAGGAAATGGCAACCCACTCCAGTATTCTTGCCTGGAAAATCCCACAGACAGAGTAGTCTGGTGGGCTACAGTCCATGAGGTTGCAAAAGAGTTGGGTGCAACTCAGCAAGTAAACAACAATAAGTCAAAGGAGAAAGGAGGAGGAAAAACATCTGAGCAAAAAGAGTAGGAAAGAGATTGAAGTAAAAAAAAAAAAAATAAAACCTGAAAAAAATAATAATTGAAATATAAAACCAAATTCTGATACTTTGTGTGTGTGTGTGTGTGTGTGTGTGTGTGTGTGCGTGCGTGCACGTGTGCGCATGCATGCACACAAACATGTACTTGCTTTGTGCAACTCTGATTTTCAAAACTTCGGTTATCATGGTAGTGCCCGGCTGAATAAGTCAGTAGAGCATGAGACTGTTAATCTCAAGGTCATGGGTCGGAGCCTCATGTTGGGAGATACTTATTGGGGGAGTGTAGATGGCACAGTGGTAAAGAATCCTCCTGCCAGTGCAGGAGACCCAGGAGACTTGGGTTCAATTCCTGGGTCAGAAAGATTCCCCTCGAGGTGGAACTGGTTACTCACTCCAGTATTCTTGCTTGGAAAATCCTGCAGACAGAGGAGCCTGGCAGGCTACTGTCCATGGGGTTGCAAAGAGTCAGACAGAACTGAGAGACTAAACACACGCACACACATGGACTGGATATCCACCCCCCCCCCCCACTAAATTCACACATTAAAACCTGAGTCCCCAATGTGATAGTATTTGGAGATGGGGTATTTGGGAGGAGTAGTAAAGAACTCACCTGCCAATGCAGGAGACTTAAGAGATGAGGGTTCGACCCCTGTGTCGGGAGGATCCCTTGGAGGAGGGCATGGCAACCCACTCCAGTATTCTTGCCTGGAGAATCCCAGGGGCAGAGGAGCCTGGCAGGCTACAGTCCATAGGGTCACACAGAACTGGACATGACTGAAGTGACTTAGGACGCAGGCAGGCCATAAGGATGGAGACTTCTTGATGTTAGTGCCCTCATAGGAGAACTCGCTTCCTGTCTCACT